TGCCCCACTGACCATGTCAAAAGGTTTAATGGTTCAATTAGTTGGGTCGCCGTGTTGTTAATTGAGTTAATGTTTTTTTAGCGAATCAATTTGGTGGTAAAAAGACCTAGAATCTTGGTTGACAAGTCCACCTGTTTGATTAGTTGATTTAAAAATTTTATTATTTAATTACAGCATCATGGGTTGACCCATTTGACTGAAATGGATGAATCATTGACTTACCACTCAAATAAAAAAAGGGAAAAATACAAAAAAAAGCTTTCCCTAAAGTTTCTAATTAACGATAATAAAAACCTCCCCTCTAGTTTCATTGTAACAAATGCCTCCTTGAGTAACTTGATTGACAAAAACCTCTTTTCTATTATTGACCCAGATGAAAATGTTAGATTGATGCATCAATTTTTTCAAATACCAATTTTACCTTATCAATTATTTTACATACAAAATTACTTAAACAACCCCATTTTAAACTCAGCAAACACTCCGTTTTGATTTTTATCCTCTCCCTCCAAATTCCCATCCCTAAATTCCATCCCAAGATGGAGGAATCCTATTCAAAAGCTTCATCGATTCTGAGAGAGCCCTGTTCCAAATCCATTAAAAGAGAAACCCCAAAAGAACATTGACTCTTTCAATCTTCCAACCCTTGAAACCCCAGTCCATCGACTAAGGAAGTGAAGAACATCTTTATACTCTTTGCCAGTGATTCTTTCATTGCTGATTCTTACGGTGAAATTAACCACCTTTGATTCTTTCATCGCTGAACTTGTGTCGGTAGAGAAGTGAGACACCATTTTTTATGGTTCAAGCAGGGAGAACACAGGTAAAGTGAAATACCATTTGTGGTTCAAGCAGTGGAGAAGTGAGACACCATTTTGCATCATAACGGGGATCGTATCATTCTCTATGTCATTTTATTGTACTTTTCGATTGCCGTTTGTAAACAAGAATAATGCTATCTCCCTGTCGTTTGTAAACTTTTTTTTGTTTTTATTATTATTTTTTTGAAAATTATGAACGGCAACTGGACCGCCATAAATATCTACATCTACAAATAAAACTTGATATCCAAGTGTACATATACCATGCACAACATGCTAACAATGTCTTTTCGTGAACAACCAATTCTCTGTTTTTCCAAAGACGTCTCAGAGACAATGGAAAGACCCACGAAAATAGAAATTGGTTCAAGATTTAGCAACCTTCAGAATTTTGATTCTTGAATCAATTTTGAAAATGCCTCAAGTTTCACAATAATTCTTGAGTTTGGAGTCTCAAGACTCTGTGATTTAAAGATAGATTTCTGAAATGGCGCAAGACAAAATTGTGAACTCGCTCGCATGGCTGATGACGAGGTTAAAAAAGAAAAAAATGGAAAAAGAAAAAGCGCAAAATTAATGTCCAGAATACCCCTAAATTCAGGATAGGTTCATAAAGCATTCTCAACCATCGATGCAAGTTAGCAGGAAACCTTTGTGCAGTAATGAAAACAAATACCTTCGAAGGTTAAAAGGAAGAACAATGGGATCTCGGCAGAAGAGATTCTTGTAGAATAAAAATGAGGGTTGCGCAATGGGAAGAGCTTATAAAATCATGTTTGGTTCACTGTTTTGGTCTCATTCTTTTAGTTCTTGCTCATTTTGGGCAAGAATGGGCACGGATGAATAATATTAGAGTGTTTAATTACAAAATTCTTGCTATCCATGGCACAAAAATTGAGTAGCCTATAGCATGAAAAATAATCATGCCCATCTTGCTCATTTTCTTTCTTTGAGGAAACTCTACCTACAAAACTCGGTTGAACCCTTATTCAATTTGAAATTGATCAAAACTGAAGTCGGCATAAAAAAACTTTATTAAAATACTTTTATGAAAGCACTTTCGTGAAAATACTTCATACAAGTAATTTTATGAAAAGTACTTTTGTGAAAGTAATTTTATGATGAAAATACTTTTCTGAAAGCACTTTTACGAAAGCATTTTTATAAAAGCACTTTTTTGAGAGTACTTTTATAAAAGCACTTTTAGGAAAGTATTTTTATAAAAACAATTTTATGAAAGTACTTATATAAAAGCACTTTTACAAAAGCACTTTTACGATAGCACTTTTATGAAAGTACTTTTAGTAAAGTAATTTTATAAAAGCACTTTTAGCAAAGTACTTTTATGAAAGCACTTTTACAAAAGTACTTATATTCATTCACTTTGGATTGGGTTGGACCCAACCCTATCCGTTTGCATTTTAATTAGACTAGGTTGGATTGTAGTAGGTGTTGTAGTTTTTGTATATGTTTTTTGGATTTCTCGTGTTATTTTGGTGTTTGATTCAATTGGATTGGATTGGACCCAACCCGATCCGTTTGCATTTTATTTGGATTGGATTGGACTTGGTTTGTGAGGATTTGGACTGGATTTAGTCCAATCCATTTGTAAATGGACCAATATTGGACTGGATCGTATTGGATCAAATCCAATCCAATTGGCAGCCCTATTTACTAGTAGAGTACTGTGGAAACTCACCTCAACAGACATTGACTATCGGTCATCCATCAGTAAACATCTATGCCAATAGTTTTGAAGACCTAGGCTAGYGGTTTATGAATACCAACAGTTTTTTTTTAGAATGAAAATAAGCAACATAGGACACTTGTCAGTCTGAAAAGAATTCAATTTTAGGAAAAAAATGTTTGGTTCATAGCAATATTTTCTCATTCTGCCTATTTTTAGCCATTCTTGTCCATTTTAGAATTTCATGTTGGATAAGAATGAGAATTGAAACAAACATGACCAATGTTTCTGAATTCTTGTTTGAGGAACAAATTTTTCATTTGTTTTTGTTGGTAATCAAAAATCAAATGAATAAAAGGGAGTCCTACTTACAAGAACCCCCTGAAGAGAAAGACGAGAAGAAGATACAAAGGCGCCATATTTTAGCTACAAAGATAAAGAGAAGAGCCACATTACGATAGAAGATTAAGGGGATTTGTAGCAGCCAGGGATCCGAGTGAGATGTTGCTCGATTGAGGGCAAATATGGTATTTTACAATATCTTTAAATGATGCCTTAGGGATAATTTTATAAATGTATACATTTTCCATCTGGGTCAGTGATAAAAGGGAGGTTTTTTGTCAAGTTTCTCCAAAGTTTAGGGGAGGTATTTGTTACAATGAAATTATAGGGGAGGTCTTTATTATTGTCAAAAACTTCAAGGAAGGTTTTTTTATTTTACATTAAAGAATGGTTTCATTTCTGAGCCAATTGTAAATTTTATATTCCATTTCCATTATTAGTAAAATTACTCTTATTTGTCATACTTATTTTTGTTTAATATGGCAATTGTGACAAATATATAATATTAGAGATGCGACCAAATTTTTTTATAAATTTTATTTATTATTTGTATTTTATTTATTTTTTAATTATGGCATCATGGGTTCATTTTTTTGAACCCAAATGTTTGCACTGCTTACCCACTACATAAAAAATATTTTATTTCTAGATTGATTTTAAAAATATAGTTTTTTATACTATTAAAATGATTCTTATGGATTTAAATTAAGAGTGAAATCAAGCCGAGCCAAGCCAAACTTTAAAATGCTTTGACTCAATTCAACTAAAATACTATTTATGTTCGAGTTTGAGTTTGATTTTAATTCAAACTCTATTTCCTAGTTTGAGTTCAAGTTTGATTTCAAAGCTTGAAAGTGAATATATTTTTATATTTTCTAAATGCATATGATATATTTTATAATATATACTATATTCTTATATTATATAGAATATAAAAATATATTTTCATATATTTTTATTTTCTATAACATTATGCATATATGTATGTATATGGTAATCAAGCCAAGCTCACATGCTTTCAAGTCGAACTTTTTAGGGAGAATGATTGATCAGTCCAGGTCAGAATTTTGTAGCCCCACATTACAGGGGGATGAATCCTGACCGTGAATTGATGCTAAATTCGTGGGGAGGATGTGGTTTATGGGGGGGGGGGTGGACTATGTGGGGTTGTTATTCAGAATTCTGCATTGGGTTTCAAAGTACTTAACCCAACTTTTTATTAGTTGAGCAGAAGCTCAAGGGCGAATAACTAATCAAGCTTACCTCCAAATTCGAACTCAATTCGAACCGAACTTAAGTCGAGCCTAATCAAACTCAAGCCCGAACTATTTGATTAAAGCTTAATTCAATTGCAGCCGTAATTTAAATAGTGAAATTTAATGATGATCAATCTCTTTATTTTTATTTTTTATCTAGTTTTTTATTTTTAGTATCCAATTATGGTACTATGGGTTCACTTGTTTGACTCAAATGGTTGAATTGCTCACCTTCCAACTAAAAACCAATTTTGTTTCCATGTTAGTTTTAAAATAATGATTTTGTACTATTCAAAACTGAGTGCCAAAAAAGGTAGATAAACAAAAATATCTCAAATATAGATTCACTAACAGTTCCTGCTATTGGAATGACCAAATTAAAAAAGAGAGGTATTTTAGTAAAAACAAGTCTAAGAAGCCTTGGGGAACTATTCTTCTTTATATTAATGTAGATATAAATAATTTTTAACAATAATTCTTAATTTATTTCCCTAGAGGGCTCAAAGGCTTAATGATGTGAAGGGCACCCCAAGAGGAACTTGGCCCAAGATAGTAGTAGTGTGTAGTGGGGCGTAAGAAATTTACCGGGGCATGAAAATGACAACTTGACAAGCATGAAGATGTTTATCAAAACCCATGACAGTCTTTGGTCATGGTAAGCCAATAAAGATTAACCAGCTTTAGGTCACAAGTATGACTATAAAACGGCAAACAGTCTATAAGGTTATGTATATTTGAATTCAGACCATCAACGTTTTATAATTCAGGTCATAAGAAGCACAGCTCAAAGGACGATAAATTTTGCAATTAGGAGCATTTATCATTTGGAATTAGGAGCTCAGACCATAAACAACATTCTAGGTGCCGTTAAAAAATAAACAACATTGTAGGTCATTGAAGAAAAGCTCAAAGGACGATGGCATTTGCAATTAGGAGTATTTATCATTTAATGACTTGCATACATAACAATGATTGTCAAAAAAATGCAAAACGGGAAAAGCAAAAAGGACTATACTAGAAAAAGAAAATCCAATGTAGAAAACACCTCTCATTCTCTTTTACACGCTCATACTAGACATGAACAAGCCCGTCACCTATTTGCTTAACTCGAAGAGTCAAATATATTAACATCATTGAACCCATGCTTGACCTGAAACAGAATATATATAAACAAAGTTTTAGGAGCAAATAATTTGCAGATTTAGAAATATTGATAACTACAAGATCTGACGATGAAAGAAATCTAATTTCCGTTCTTATGTCTTCAGGACTCTAACTTGGTCTACATATAGACAGTTATGCACAGGAAACCTTTTTGTATGACCCAGTTTTGCAATAATATACACCAGAAGAGAATCTAATATTTCAATCAGAGGCGGATAACTAGTACTTGATCTTTTTTTTTTGGGTAGAAACTGGCACTTAAGCTCAACCACCTGATCTTATTTTACCTGCACCTGTACAAATAAATTAAAATAGTTTATACTAACTTCAGCAGTCGCTTTTTTTCTTTGTTTTCTTTTCTTTTTTTCCTTTACAGTCACCCGGTAAGATTCAGCAAAGGACATGATTATACATATTTAGCTATCACGTACATGTGCATATGCACAATCGATCACACTTGCTCAAACGAATTAGGTTATTATTTTTTTTTCGAAGAAGGTAACTATTTCATTAGAAAGAAGAAAAGATGACGAGAGCACTTAAACAGAGCTTTACAAAAAGAGCAATTACAGCCCCATCAACAAAAACTACGATCAAAAGACTGTTGTGGTATTCTACAATATCTACTTCAGCATTTAAGTCTCAGGGAATCCAATGAAAAACAGTCTGGAAGGAGGTCAAGATACCTCTGAACTCATTAAGATATTTCACCACCCTCCGAACTTATCAACAAGTCTTGGATTTTTATACCTGGCCTTAATATGTTTTCTTTCTAAATTTTGATAACTAAATTATTCATTGATCAGAACAAAATATACACAAAAGGAGCTAACCAGTCAGGAGCACCACAATAACTTGAATAGGATAACATAAATAGGCTCATGATCAGAACAAAATATACCTTGCCCTAATTATGTATTAATAACATAAATAGGAAGACAAGATTTTAATAAAAATACACAGCAACATGAAGTTCCTTATACACCTAAGCTAAAATCACAATTTTAATTCCATCCAATATAAAAGATATCATTCCCATTGGACCTTTAAATTTATCGAATATCTAAAGCTTAATGCTTGATTTAATTTTAGTACTGGAACAAACATGAATTAAGTCATAAATTCATTTAACTTGGCTAAAGTGATCTTTACAGAGCTTACAATATTGAGAAGAGAAGAACTACTTTTCTTGAGTCAAAGGAGGCTGCACGCTTACTCCGCCACCTGCCATTAGGTGTGTCATGAGCTCTCTCAGTTGTTGGCTTGTCTGTTTCATGAATGTAAAGGACAATAATGTAAGTGCTAATTTTATTCTAAGCAAGGCTGGTTAATGTAAGTACTCATTGTTACAGGCTACAACTAGTAAAAATCTTAAAGGTCTGGTAATAGCACAAATAAAAGAATGGAGATACTTGTTTTGGGGGAAAATCCATATATTGTAAAAGATGGCCAACATTATAATTTAGAACAACTACGGGGCTGTTTGATACAATCAAAGTGGCTAAACTGAAAAAATTATTGTTTTGTCTTTAACTAAATAGGTTTTTAAGGAGGTTGTGGGCTTTGGCTAAAGCTGAAGTTAGCTAGATTAATATACATTAAATATTTTATTCTTTAATTATTTTGTCCACTAAAAGACAAAGCAATAAGTTGTTCAGTTCAGCAACTTCAATAGTTATCAAATGGCCCCTAAGGATATGAATTTGACCCAAAAAAATATATATGAATTTCAGTAGTCTCTAAATAAGGGGTATGAATTTTAGGGGGAAAGCATTCAGCGCATTGGGAACTTAGAGTCATCTGACATGTCAGTGTATTTGAAAGACTAGAAAAAAGAAAAAGGCAAACAGTTCAGTAAAAGAACCCTGCAAATTGGATGGATAGAACTAGAACTAACCAATCTACCTTGTCATCCAGCCCGTTAAGGGGGCTCAGGACTAATATCTTTGAGGAATGCCAGTAAAAAGACCTTATAGGTCCAAAATTGATCAAATTGAGTGAACTTGATAATGTAATGTTTGTTTTTACTTGGGGCTCAAGCTTGTAGTTCAGTTATTTGGCATTCGGCACCACAACAACTTACCCACTCCGCAAAACAAATTATTCTTTCGAAGATGGACTCTTATAGCTTTTAGTTAATTAGTTCAGTTATTTGGCATTCTGCACCACAACCATGCAACTTCCACTCCGAAAAACAAATTAATCTCTGGAAGATGGACTCTTATACAATGAAAGAAAAATCATATAGATAGCATTGTACTTTCAATAAATTGGGTGATATTTTCTAACACTCACTGGAAATTTCTCGTGTTCCTAGGAGTGAAAAGTAGTTGCCTTTTGGTACCCGGAATGCTAGAAATGTTCTATTGTAATGTTACCAAATGCCAACTTGTTTAATTGTAATGGTGGCATTGATGTTTACACACGCACACACGCACACATGTCAATATGTCATATATGAAGAAAACGGCAGAGATCTATCAATATATAAAATTTCGAAACTACAAGTTAGTTAAGGCAATTGTTGATAAAGAAGATAGTGTTTGAATACATTTACATACCTCTGGAAGTGGACCTCAGTGATATCAGGTTATGGTTCATTAAAAGCTGAATGATCTTTCCACCTATCGGTATATTAATCTTTCTCTCAAACAGCTTCTGCAACACAACAATTTTGTTATGTACTAACATTGTGGAAGGATTAGAAATAGAGTAAAAATACAAATATGTACAGTGCAAAACCTTGTATTTGCACTGTACATATTTGTAGTTCTATTCTTCCCAAACTGAGCCTTAAGGACAAAACATAATGTCCTTGATACCCTTCCTTGTCTGCCCAATGGCACCAGAGATTTCCTATTAGAATGATGAACTTTTATAAACAGCTCAAATACCACAAAGCATAGAAAGGGAAAAGCATCATACAGTTAGTGCATTCTCAGCTTTCATTGAGTGCCCTTCAAAGCTCTCAACTGATTTGGATATTTCCAAGTTTTCCTTCTCAATATCTATATCCACACTGCATGGGGAAGATCTATCTGTACTTTCTGTCTGCAGACTGGCGCTGTTCTTGCAATCCCATTGGCTATCTGAGCATGCCCGGCTTTCTAGTGGATACAGAACTTCTGCAACATTTAAGACTGACAAGTCTGATGAACAATGTCGATTGGAATTTTCGTTGTCAGAAATCACTGAAATGCAGTAGACATCTTGACCCTGCAAAAAGGAAATCATAGTCTAATTTCAAATTGTATAATTTAGGAAATATTATATAAGTAATAGCTCTAGGTTTCGTTGTCAGAAATCACTGAAATTCAGTCTAAGTTCCATTGGTACATTGAGAAATGATAAATCTTCTTCATCTATATCCACTATCCATGACTTATCAATTGTTCAACCATCTAAAATCAGCATAGTCTAATTTCAAACTGTGTAATTTGGGAAATATTATATAAGTGAAAAGCTCTAGGTTCCTATGTTCTATTACACTAGTAATATTCCAATCAATCTCTATGTTGAAATTATAACCACTCTGATTAAGGACCAATATATATTAACAACATTTTCTTCAATCCTGTATAAATTTGTGCTGATGAGGCCAAAATTTTTCAATGGAACAACAATTAGAATTCAAAACCTTAACCTTTGCTTGCTTTCACTGATGAAGAGAAAAGAATTTTGATTTCTGATGATTGTAAAACATAGTACCAGCTTGCAATGACTGAATAGAATAATTAAATAGTTACGTGCAAGAAGCTCATCAAGAATCCTTTTTGTTATTGTTGCATAACCATCTATCAGATGTAGTAGCAGATATAATAGACACGATCAAATGAATGAATGCACAGTCTTTTTAATGGTCCTTTAGTTGATAATCTCTTTCAAACCATTGTCAGGAAATCAGTGAAATTTGAATTTAGACATCTACAGAAGAAAAGCAACTTCATTACTTTAGATGAAACATTAAGGTTGTGTTTGGTTTGAAGGAAAAGGTAGGGAAAGGAAGGGAAAGGAAGGGAAACCTGTACAAACCTGCCTTTCCCTTCCTTTCCCTACCTTTTCCTTCAAACCAAACACAGCCTAAAAGCTGGTAGATGGCCCTCTGTATCCGTACTTCTCCGTATATATAATTGAGATTTACATGCCAGAAATGCAAAAAGATGAGCCATTTGGTTACTTTGCCTACATATATGCACAAGATGTATGTTGTCAAAACGATTTATAAGCTTCTGAAAATGGCTATATGCACGAAAACCAATGTAAATATTCATCAAAAAAGAAAACCAATGCAAATAAATGGATAAACGTTTATCAGCGTTTTTTTAATAAACGCGCGCGCACCAAACAGTATTTTTTGAGCCAAAAAACGTTTCTCTTCCCAGATGTTGATATGGTGCCGTTGATCAAATTAAGATTCTATCCAAATATTTCTGTCCACTTGCGCATATCTGTTTAGAAGTTCTAGAATGCAGAGGTTGACACCAATTAGAGAATAACTTCAGTGGAAGAGAAATGAAAGACTAACAGAAAGAGCATTATAAAGAGAACAAAAACTTCTCTAAAAGAGCATTATAAATAGAACAAAACTTCACCAAAAAACACATAACAATAATATTATTTTTGTGACAATTTAAAAATTATACCCAGGTAGATAAATTTGGATGGAGCTTAATCACTTTTCTCCTAAAGACATTAAGAATGTAAGCCTTCCTTTATCAGGTTTAACGCAGAGCATCTTAACTCATCAATCCTGAATAAACTTCAGCCTTGATGCTCTTTAACCCCGCTTCCTTAAAAAAGTTAAAAAGAAAAAAAGAAAAAACTTAGAAATTAAATTACAAAGCCTCTAAATGGATATAATAAACGCAATTCAAAGAAACACCAAAATGGGACCAGAAAATTGGAAAAAGAGCAACACAACTAATGTCCATTAGACTAACAACAATAACAACAGGTTAACGCAAATTAATTAAATTCGAATAGAGTACAAACAGAGATCCGCTGAAATATTCGTCGAAATTAGAATTTTAACTCAACAGAGCTAAAGCTTTCATTGGAACTTGGAAGAGATAAAAAAGGGGAAAAACACTAGTAGAAACCTCAGAAATCGAAGAGAATAAGAAACCTCACTCACCTCCTTGCACGGACAGACCGCCATTTCGAATAAAACAGAGAGGTTCGGGAGAGACGACTTAGTTTTCAACATGTGAGATCGGGGAGTAGTAGTACCCTAGCTTATTTATCTACTGTGAATCAGAGGAGAAGTTCTTCTGGTTGAAGCTCTCAGAACTCAGAACACAGAGGAAGAGTAAAAGCACGGCCGTTGGTTCGAACGCAACTTTGGAAGGAGCTTTCCACTTCACTGGCGCGGGCTGTCTGCCAGCCGTAGAAATTAGAAATCCATGTCCCCGATGCCCGACATGGACAAATTTGAAGCCAATATGACGAAACAACCCCCGACAAAGTTCTTCTCTACATCCTGACTACGAAAGTACGAAAAAAAAAAAAAAGGGATAAAGAGGTTTTTATTGTTCAGTCCACCCCATAGACTGCGACCCCGGTGACAACCCCAAACTTTGTTTTGCGACAAAAACCTTCTAAACTTTTGTATGTTACACTTCGCCCCCTGTTTCATTAACCGGACTGACCATCAAAGCAAGAGCTGTCAAAATGATGAAAATGGATTATTATTTGTCAAACACCACACTCCTTTGAATGGGGTTATTGTGCTTTCAAACACTTAATGATGAGTTTTTCTTTTTTTTTTTTTGGATAACTAGATTGCACCCTTAGAATTCTGAATTTCACTCTAGACTTATAACAATTCAAAATTTTAGATACCTCTATCTAAAATTTTGACATCAGTTCTGAACTGATGTCAAACACAACACTGTGTATTGACATCAGTTCTGAACTGACACCTATCACAATTATACAATAAAATTAAGATTTGTGGAAGTAGATTGAACAATAGAAATGATGAGGGTTTCGAAGCACAGTAACCTAATTTTAAAAGAGATATTATACTTTAGCCTATCCTTTTTTATCATTTTGATAACTTTTATTTCAAATTCATCAAATCTCAAATAGGCAATTTAATAATTTTATGTTATTGTAAATGTTATAGGGGCAAAAATGACAAAATTCAGAAATTCAAAAAGCCTTTATCACAAAACAAAATGGGGTTCACTTCACTATGATACTGTAAAGACGTGATATGAAAAAGTTCACTGGTACCATAGATTTTCCCATATTTTACGTGGAAGATGTGGACGATGGTCTATTTTCCAATCATCGTTACACGTCCAGCTGTGCAACACAAGTCATGCCGCATATGGCGTCCTCAGTCACATGATATTTGCCCGTAACGTCCTCGTTGAATCGTTGGCTTCAGTTATGGAAAAGGTTTAATTTAACTGTCACCAGCAAGGATTTTAGCAAGAAAATGATACTGAATTAAGGCTCAGGGGCATTCTGGGTACGCCGTAAATCGTTGTTAGGATCCCATTGCGAACATAGGTCAGTCGCCTTGTTTGCACAGTTGCATGTGAGTACGTGGTTGAAACTTGAAAGCGAAAGCAGCTCCCCAGAAACCTATCAAAGTAAAGCGAGTCACGGGCGTCTCACAGAAAAATGACTCCACAATTCACATCTGTCCAAAATGGTTCAGCCCTTCAACAAGTATCATTCTTTCTTCTACTAAGTTTACTTGAGTTAAATCAGTCCCCTACAACGTTCCACATCACATCGCTGCTGTGTATTAGAAATATCTCCCGATGATAATATTCAGGATAAAGATGTCATCATTGAGAGATGTTTTCAATATACGCAGAAATGTGCTATGGGACGTTGTGGGGCTAATAATTAACAGAAAATCGAGTGAAATAAGGGATTTTATTTTTCTCTTACTTTCTACCAATAACCAAACAAGACCTTAAGTAACTTGATTTGATAATTGCGACTAATGACCCGTGCCACTTTTCCCCTGAGAAAGGGCTAAACCCAGGAAATTTTCTCCCTGGGAAGTGTTGTCAAACCTGTATCGTAATATCCAAAAGGCTCATTGGCTTACTCGGTCGCTAGTTTACTAGTTGGACATCTCACCCGGTTCGATTTTTGGGGCCTTGAAATTACAACCTACTGCTCAGGTTTAGGGTTCATCGACCATGGTGGTACGTAGGGCGGTCTGCCTTCCCTGCTGCAGGTTCCTCTTGAATTGGGTTAGAGCGCTCCTCACACTGACGTCACAGTCATACCCCACTGTGTATTGAAACATCTCTCATAAATAATAGTATACTGAGTACAGGAGATATTCGTAATGTACAGTTGAAACACCCTGTAAGGTTGGTGTGAGAAGTTCTATGAGGTCCAGATCTGGACTGGTTCCTCCCAAGTCCCAGCCCCAGTCACCCTCCTGCTGTAACCACACATCGGCAGCCCACTTGGTCCCCTCCACCTCTGGAGTATGGACTGGGCTAAAGTAAACTGCTATACTACAGCCTTGTGCATGGTCAATCTTATGCGCTGCCGCTGGAGGTAATCCGTCTGTGCAGGACCCACATGGCTAACCACCCGACTTGTATAAGAAATGGAAAAATGAAGGATAGGAAAACGACTTTGCGTGAAAATAACAATCGAATTCCTGGAAGAAGACAAACAAACAAAGCTGATACTCTCTTTAGCAGTTAGCACTAGACTGCTAGTAGCATTTTGACCAGTAAAGCTCACATTCATCTGAAAAATCGTTACGCAGATGAGCAAACTACGATGCATGATGATCGATGATTCTACATTTTCCACTGACAAATTCCTTTTGGGTATAAAGAAGAGTTGCACTACACAGGGAGTAGAGGCCCAAAATCACTCAAGCTTATGCGCTGCCGCTGGGGGTACGTCTTTTTCTTCTTGAATCATGGCCAATCTACCGTCCTCGGAGTCGGTCAGAGTCCGACTTACTAGCACTAGCAGGACTGCTGCCTTACTGCCTTACTGCTTCCTTGTGCAGTGTGCAGCTGGGGCGGCCCAAACCCAAGCCCGGGTCGGCTCAGCCCTCAATTTTATACGGGCCGGGCTTGAATTTTTGGACCTTGGGTTGGGCCTGGGCTCAAAAGTGTTGGTTTTTATATTTGTCCTTGGGCTTGGTTCTTAGGCCCAGTTCTTAAGGTTGGGCCTGGGGTGAGATCACATCCAGCCCAACTTGCCCAATTTGCACCCTAATGTGTAGGTAGGGGTGTAAATGGATCGAATTCGAATCGGATCAGGCAATATTCGAATTTAAATCCGATATCCGAATTTGATTGGATATCCAACGGATATTGAAAATTAATATCCAAATTTGAATCCGATTAAATATTCGAATATTCGATTCGATTCGAATTCGAATTCGATTAGTTAACTATTTTAAATAATTAATAAATATATAAAATAAATATTTTATTGATATAAAGTATATAAATACATAAATTATTTATATAACTTAATTATTATATATAAATTATATAAAATATTTTATATATTATATATAAGAATTAAATAATCAATCGAATTCGGATATTATCAAATCGAATCAGGTCATATCCAAATTCGAATCCGATTAACTATTCGGTAAGAATAGGATATCCGAATTCAATCGATTAGATATTCGAATTATCCGAATCCGATTTGATTATGTCGAATAGTGAATTCGAAATCAGATTTTCGAATACCGTTGACACCCCTATGTGCAGGCACTTGACTACTAGAAGATTGGAATCGCGTCCCTCTGGTCGTATTTCCACCATCTATAATCATTCGTAGGAGATCACATCTGCGCCCACAAATGCCCCATATGCACATCTCAACATGCATTGGGAACATCTCCCAAAGTTGTCATTGAGAGATGTTTCTAATACATGGTTGGGATATGCTGTGGGGCATAGATGTGAATTCCATTGGCAGATTTCCATCACTTGCAATTTGGGTGAGCTCGGGTTGACCACGGTTAAAATTTGTGTGGACCCTAAGGCCCGGGCTCAATGCTTTTCTGATCTCCTAAATGCAAAAAGCCATATAGAAAATATTTCCAATGTGCTGCTGATGTTGTGTTCTCAAAATATTCACATGTTTTTTATTTTAGAAAATCCTATCTCATGTAGTTTCCTTTTTTTTTTTCTTTCTGAGCTTTTTATATGACTATACAAGAGGACCCATCCCCATCCCAACCCCCAACTCTAGTGACAACCAAGGATTAAAGTATCAATATCAGGTATTGAATTGGACAACTTGGATATAGATATGGTTGGGAAATGCATGGATACAGACAAAAAAAATATTAAAATGCTTAGATACACTAAGGAAATTTATACAAATTTCATAAATATATCAATAACTTCATGTTTAATGTCAAAATAACTATAAATAATGTATAAATACAGAGGAATTGTATATTTTAATGTTATATCTGAATAAATATATTACAATTAATATAACGGGATGAATGGGTATTATACAATTTTATTGATAATGCATCAATCAAGAGTCTAAGACACACATTATATGGATTTTTACAAATTAATACATATATAAAGCCATTATTATTTTATTTTTATTAATTTCCAAGGCACAAACATATGCAACTATTATATTTGAATTATTATATCATTTTTTTCTATTTTAATATTTTTAATTTCTAACATCAACTAAAAAATTAATTCACAAATGTTTAGTAAATAATATTTTCGTTTTTGTAAACAATAAATATGTTTATATAAAATGTAGATGAAAATATCAATTAATAATTTATAAAAATCTATAAGCTTAAATTAAAATGTATCAAATATATTAAAATTTTGAAGATGGATATCATATGAAAATTCATAAATTTTAATTACTAAAATAATTATTCCATTATTAATATTTTATTTTTATGAATTTTCTAAAATTAAAAATTAACTTTTATATAAATGTAGATTAATGGATTTGATAGATTCAATCTATATCTCAAATATTTTGTAAACAATATTTTATCTTTGTAAGTAAAAAATACATTGTTATTTAATGCAATTAAAATATTAATTAATAATTTATAAAATAATTATTATAATTTATTAAGTTTACATAAATACTTTTAAGTATTAAAATAATTATTATATTAATAATATTTTTATTTGTATAAATTTGTTGAAATTAAAAATCACTTATATATGTGGATTTGATAAATTATTTATTTTATTGGTTTAAAAAATAATAATTTTGAATATTATTCTTTTTAATTTGTACTTGGAGTTATTGAATATATTATTTGTTTAGATTAAAGGTAAGCATTAATGTTAATAAAAGATAATTTATTTCACTTATTATCATGGTGGTTAAGATCCTTGTGCTCCTAGGCACTAGGCAACCTAGGTTTTA